GAGGTGTCGACCTAAACCTCATTGGTTATCTGTGATGAGCTAAATGATCTGAGTTTGGAAGGTCCGAGCTAAATGCCTGAGCTCAACCTTAGTTATATTTTGAGTATCATCAATATCATAAATAGATTAGTAGTGAGATTCACTTAAATATATATATTTTGTTATTTGTTATTTATTTGACAAATTATTTACCATAAATTTAAATAGAACCCTTTGTATAGATGTGAGTCCCTTACTAATATATGGTGGGTAATTTAACCAATGAGATTAACGGGTAAAAAAAAGTCATTGCAAACCCAACTAATCATAATACGAATCTAGCTAAACACCACTCATACTCTACAATGAATGAGCTATTGTGTACGTATAGTAAATTTTGACACAGAAATGATTTTGTTTCTATAACTTCAAAACACAGAATCTAATGAGACGTTGACAACCTACCTGCATCATATCTCCAAGATTGATGACTAGTGTGTTTGGAATAGGTTTCACATCAATCCAATCACCATCTTTATAAATTTGTAGACCTCCCTCGTCTTGGTTCAGTATGGACAGTACCGAGCTGTCTGTGTGCACGTCTAAGCCGCATGCTTGGTCAAGAGCCTCAGGGCAACGTGGGTAGCGGTAGGCTCGTAACATTCCGGTCGTCGGCGACAGATAAGACTTGGACTGTTTTAGACACAGTTTGAGGTCTTCTGCCATGGCTTCGAAAATTGTTGTAGCAAGCCTAAACTGGTGGATTCCATATTCTTCTAGCAAAAGTCTATTCGAGAGGCATAAAAAGACACAAGTAATTTAGAATGNTCGAAAATTGTTGTAGCAAGCCTAAACTGGTGGATTCCATATTCTTCTAGCAAAAGTCTATTCGAGAGGCATAAAAAGACACAAGTAATTTAGAATGAATATGTGGCGTTCTTTATAAGATTGTTTTAGATCTAGATTCGTTCTATCACATAATGAAATGGGAGTNCTTCGAAAATTGTTGTAGCAAGCCTAAACTGGTGGATTCCATATTCTTCTAGCAAAAGTCTATTCGAGAGGCATAAAAAGACACAAGTAATTTAGAATGAATATGTGGCGTTCTTTATAAGATTGTTTTAGATCTAGATTCGTTCTATCACATTCATATTCATTAAAGTATGACAGTATTCTATTTAGTTAATTTTAGGAATGTAATTATTGGAAAAGAACTAGATATTACATACAAGAAGGGACGGAAATACATAGATCTATGTGGGGACAGCTGTTCTCATTCAATTTTGTTTATTATTTTTTTTTTTTTGCAATTTTTTAAATAGATTTTAATATATTCTAAATTTGCTCCCACAAAATTACTCTAATACACTTTAATCTACTTTTTTTTTTCTTTTGGATTAAATTTATTAGTTATCAATTAAGTGAACAAATAATATTTAATTAGTTGAATTCAACGACATGGGTTTAATAAATTATTTTGAAGCTCCTCATTCTCTATTTACATTTCGCCCCTCTCTTTCAGTCTTGTTAATTTGGATATGTTGAATAATAAAATTGTCATGTCATATTTTTATGATATGAAAATAATTATAACAATAAATTTTACGTTATACGGATCTAAATACTAAGAATTAAAGATACAAACATAACCTTTCACATGTAAAATAAGACTGGGAACATCTAACAAATTTCAAAACTAGCATTGGCCTTTTACACTAGGTTGCCCGGTCAATTATGAAAGGAAATTACTTGGTTGGCCGGTGGGCGCCGGCCCTATATACATAACGTGTATATAATATTATTATAAGGGTTAATTGTAAGTTATATCCCGAATAATAGTTTGAATCTCAATTTAAACTTTCAAAGATAAAAAATTTTAATTTACACCCTAAAAGATAAAAATTTATATCAATGTGCACCCCCAAAGATAAAAAATATTAATTTTCACCCTAAAATTTGTATCAATGTGCACCTAAAACTAAATTGATAAATTATACCTAGATCCCCTCATGCTTGTCACTTAATCATTTTGACTCCTTCATATTTAGAATATTACTCCTACATCTCATGGCGTTTGTGCATGTGCAATACGTAACCCATTTTCGTTGATATACGNTAATTTTCACCCTAAAATTTGTATCAATGTGCACCTAAAACTAAATTGATAAATTATACCTAGATCCCCTCATGCTTGTCATTTAATCATTTTGACTCCTTCATATTTAGAATATTACTCCTACATCTCATGACGTTTGTGCATGTGCAATACGTAACCCATTTTCGTTGATATACGTTAATATAACCGTTAAAAAATATGATTTTATCCTAATAAAAAATTATAATTTTATATTACATTTTTTTTATGGGTCCAANCCATTTTCGTTGATATACGTTAATATAACCGTTAAAAAATATGATTTTATCATAATAAAAAATTATAATTTTATATTACTTTTTTTTATGGGTCCGANCATGTGCAATACGTAACCCATTTTCGTTGATATACGTTAATATAACCGTTAAAAAATATGATTTTATCCTAATAAAAAATTATAATTTTATATTACATTTTTTTTATGGGTCCAATATACTCTAAAATTCAAAATCAAGCTTACCATTTAAATGTCTAATATAATGTAGATATTTATGTAATATTTTTTATATCCAATGTAATATATTACTCAATGTGAAACTCTTTAATCTATTACACATTCAAATAGTAAGTTTAATTTTGAACTTTAGAGTATATTAAACCCATAAATTAAATGGTAATATGAAATTATAATTTTTTTATTAGGATAAAATCATATTTTTTAACTGTTATATTAATATATATCTACAAAAAGGAGTTACGTGTTACATGTGCACAAATACCATGAGATGTAGGAGTAATATTCTACATGTGAAGGGGTCCAAATGATTAAGTGATTAGTATGAAGATATCTAGGTATAATTTATCAGTTTAGTTTTAGGTGCACATTAATACAAATTTCTATCTTTGAGGGTTCAAATTGAAATTTTTTATCTTTGATANTAACTGTTATATTAATATATATCTACAAAAAGGAGTTACGTGTTACATGTGCACAATACCATGAGATGTAGGAGTAATATTCTACATGTGAAGGGGTCCAAATGATTAAGTGACTAGTATGAAGATATTTAGGTATAATTTATCAATTTAGTTTTAGGTGCACATTAATACAAATTTCTATCTTTGAGGGTTCAAATTGAAATTTTCTATCTTTGGGAGTGCACATTGATACAAATTTCTATCTTTGAGGGTACAAATTAAAATTTTTAATTTTTGAGGGTACAAATTAAAATTCGAACGATCTCAATTTACAATTAACCCTTATTATAAACACCCATTATTGCATATATAAAATATAATATACATATAATGTACATATAATCCGTAAACGATGTGAATTTAATCTTTAACTTATATCTAAATAAATTCAAGTATAATTCATTTAATAACTTTAAAAAAAACTAAGGAGCAGAGTTTGAGTTTGAAAGAAAATTAATGAGTCCAACTTCAGATAAATGCTTAGACTTATTGGTTAGGTTCATTTGCAGCCTCACCCATGTGAGAATCTCAATGATTCAACACGTACAAAATGAACACGGCTCTAATAATTGGTTATTTTATTGTTTCTTATAGACTGAATTATTGGTTATTGCTGACGCAAAGTCCAGAAGTCAAACATGTCCCAAACAATCCAATCTTAAAAGTGAAGAAATTGACAAACCAAGGGAAAAAAAGGGGGTAGGGGGAGAGGCTTACCTGAAATAATCAAGCATTGGATCCTGAGTTTGAAGCTGCGATAGCTGACCCAAAGGTGCAAAAAAACCTTCCATCCAGTTAAGGTTTTGGACATTGAGATTGAGACCTTTTTCTATGACTTCCCCAGATGGTGTAAGGGCAGGGGTGCCCCAAGAGTAGGCCATAGGCCTGGTGAATAGGGCTTGTTTGGATTCAAACGTGAAAGAAAAGAGTTTCCGGGCATGTTCATGGAGCCGGCTCAAGAGAGTTGTTGGGATTCCATGGTTGACCAAACGGAACATGCCCCAATCTCTACAAGCTTCACTCAACTTTGCTTGGTTTATGCATTGTAGATCTATTACCGGAAGAGGGTCTGAGTCTGGGACTTGTTTGGTTGGCTCATCGGAGTCAACGCCGAGGTTTGTGTTGCTTGTTTGGCGGAACAACGGGGGATAGGACTCGAGGGTGGACTCGGCCATGTTTGTTGATTCATTGCATCCGACTTGTGCAAGTAAATATATAGGGGGTTAATTACAATGACATCCATTCTAGTTTTTAATATTTTCATTGCACTCCTTTTTATTTCTACAATTCCACTTAACTCCTTTGAATATGATAATTGACTTGGGCTAGCTACTAACCATTTTATCCTTAAGTGGGAGAAACAAGATTTGACCCCTGAATTTTGACTCTCACAGACAAATTGGACAGTCAAATCTACCAACATAAATCATAAAAGTAAGTTGTTTAAGTCTATTAGTTCTAAAATGTTCTTCTTTAGGTACTCAACTTTAATTGCCAAAAAATTTCTCCAAAAACCTATTATTAGGAAGATCTTTTCAGGAAAATTATCAAAAATTATTTCTAAAATTTACCGCAAAATGTGGCCAAATAACTTTGGAGATAACATTAACATCAAAGAATCATATACATCATAACAAAAGAATTAGTATTTTTTATAAACAACCAGGGATCCAATGAAAAATTTCAAAACTCGAAATGATGTCACTATAATTTACTTAAAAATAAGAGATGATACCATTATAACCTTTTTTTTTTTTTTTTTTCCGGTAAGGTATAACATTGTAACTTTACACCACCCAATAATATAGATTATACTAATTTTTGAATATAATTGGGAGTAGAACAAAAATATTAGAAATAAGAAGGGACGTCATTGTAATATTTTTATGTTGGGTGAAGCTGCCTCGTCCATGAATCGACACGTGGTTTACGTGGTCCCTTTTCCAATGTGTTCTAGACTACGTATATTCCCATGTCATTCAAATTGGACGATATCAGGACGTCGTTGTCAGGATCTACCAAGTATGGCCCAACAAAACCATCAATAATAGAGAGAGGTTTGGCCACTGGCAGTGGTCCCATTGAGTCCATGACTAAGTGGTGGTTATCACTTGTGACGCAGTCAGTACTGTGGGACTCCACACACGTGAACGTAACACTTTTCATGTCACTGTACCCACGTGTCAATATCAAGCAAGTAATCTCGATCTCTCTCACATCCACGGTAAACTTACAAAAAAAACTCACCCCACGTGTAATCTAGGTTTACCAAAATTTTAATCATTTTTTATTAAATTATTGTGAATAGTTGAATTGATGAGTCTCACTAGTTTTTATTAATCATATTATTATTATTATCATACTATATTATTTAATATTTAAAATTACGTAAAATTTTATGAAATTTTTAGCATTATTCTTTGTGATAATACACAAATTGATTTATGTACCATCAGTCAAGTGATCAATAATTAATGCGGTAATTAAATAAATAGAGAGTAATTCAAGTAAGACGAAGANTGAGTCTCACTAGTTTTTATTAATCATATTATTATTATTATCATACTATATTATTTAATATTTAAAATTACGTAAAATTTTATGAAATTTTTAGCATTATTCTTTGTGATAATACACAAATTGATTTATTTACCATCAGTCAAGTGATCAATAATTAATGCGGTAATTAAATAAATAGAGAGTAATTTAAGTAAGACGAAAANTATTATCATACTATATTATTTAATATTTAAAATTACGTAAAATTTTATGAAATTTTTAGCATTATTCTTTGTGATAATACACAAATTGATTTATGTACCATCAGTCAAGTGATCAATAATTAATGCGGTAATTAAATAAATAGAGAGTAATTCAAGTAAGACGAAGATGTAGAGTGGTTTGGTCAACGTGGTTCACGTTCACTACGAAAGGCTAGGGTCGCCTGGGTATTTTATTACTTAGAGGAGTATAGAAAGAGTAGGGAGATACAAACAATAAGAGAGAGATGAGAGTGATAGCAGGTGTGCTCGATTATGTGTGATGCCCCCCAGTGTTGACAGAACTTACGATTTGTAATAGTCTCCTAACAAATCGAGACGGCTTATCAGTAACTAAAAAACTNAGTATAGAAAGAGTAGGGAGATACAAACAATAAGAGAGAGATGAGAGTGATAGCAGATGTGCTCGATTATGTGTGATGCCCCCCAGTGTTGACAGAACTTACAATTTGTAATAGTCTCCTAACAAATCGAGACGGCTTATCAGTAACTAAAAAATTAATTTGGTGGAGCTGGTGCCATCTTTTCAATGGATGAGGCAGTTACGACGCTCCCCATAAGATCTAGTCAAAGGATGATGTGGTAGTTGACTTTATCCAAGGCGGCGTGGATGAGGCTCTTGGATAACCTTGCTTACTCCCTTGATGATGTAGCTCTTTGAGAACCTGATGAGTTTGACTGGGGTGTGGACCTCCCTTGGGCTGGACCCATTGGATCTCTTTAAGTTGGGCTCTTAATTTAAACTAGGCTTACAACGTGGGTTAGACCCTTGGGCCTAGCCCATCATTTGCCTCCAAATGCCCTGTGTCTAATGAAACTTGGAGAAGAAGGCATTCAGTTGAACCTGAATTCCGGCTGACGGAGACTCCTTTTGACTGATGACTCTTTCCTTTCTTGATATATAAATTCCTTTTTCCTATAGGACATCTCCAGGCTCCCCCATTTTTTTTCAAAAAGAACCCTTTGTTATAGAAAATAACTTTTTCCCCTTTTTTCTATTCTATACAATTTGAGAGATAGTTTCTCCTGAAATTTTCCAAGAACAAAGAGGTGAGATTCTTGAGTCGAACATTCAGAACGAAGTCGATTAAAGGAGAAGACATGTAGGAGTTTGTGAATCTTGATGGGGAGCTTGGAGAGATCGATGTTGTCCTCGGAGCTCCAGCGATCACCGGCATCGTTGAGGCAAAGAGATCGGGAGATGTCGAGGCTGGGAGTAAGGTGAGAGATGGAGGCATGGAGCAGAAGGCTAAGGCACAATGGGCGTCGCTGGGCATGGCGACCCAGGTTTCTAAGGTCCAGGCACCTTGGGCATCGCCCAATGTGGCAACCTAGGCCGCTGGGACTGAAGGGAGGGGCGCCATTTGCGGGTTCCGTTGTTCTTGCAGGAAGGGCCAGGGAGGCGCTCATGGGCACTATCGAGGTTGAAGGGGGATTAACCCGAGCGATGGGCGCCTAAGTATAGGTGACCCAGGTGCTGGGCGCCGAGACTGAGGTGGCCTAATTGTTGGGTGCCAAGGTCGAGGTGACCTAGGCACTGGGTGTCATGGCTGAGGCGACTCAGGCGCTGGGCAGGGAACTATCAGGCAAGGTGCGTCTGAGCGAGGCGTCGAGGGCCGATCGCGATGGAGGAGCACTGTTTGGTGATGATTGCAGGTAGAGAAGCCCTTAGGTGGATTTGACAAGTGTTGGGCATAACTAGGCAAACGTGTAGGCAGTGCTGATGGATAATAGGCATAGTTAAGCGGCGTCGCATGTAGCTTGGTCCTTGTCTTTGGGTGAGTCAGGTGAGATGGAGGTAGACATCGGGCATGAATCTTCGTGAGCGAAGAATTCACCGGGTATTCTTGGTGGCACTAATTCTGGTCAAATGACGGGGTAGAGGAGCCCTTAGGTGGATTTGACAGGTGTTGGGCATAACTAAGCAAGCGCGTAGGCAGTGCTGATGGATAATAGGCGTAGTCAAGCGGCGTCGCATGTAGCTTGGTCCTTGTCTTTGGGCGAGTCAGGTGAGATGGAGGTAGACACTGGGCATGGATCTTCGTGAGCGAAGAGTTCACCGGGTATTATTGGTGGCATTGATTCTGGTCAAATGACGGGTAATATGGCCCGCTTAGGTGGAACTCCATAGAGTAAAATACTTTAAAGCTCTCCTATTAGTGGCATAAGAAATGTTTCTCGCCTTTGCCATAGCAAACATCGGGGGAAGGTAGCTCTTAATGATGGATCAAAAGTGAGTACCATTTCCAGTACCTTTAACACTAACTCTAATATTCTGCGAATTGTTTCCACTTATAATATTCTTCCAACAATACTATGTCATCGAGCCGAGATGGGCGAGACTGCTTGCGATGACTCATCTAGAGACATCGTTATCTATGAGTAGGTGCTTGAGGTTGGGCTAAGGTTCCCAATGCCTTCTTCTGTTTGTCGTATTCTGCATTGTTTTTCACTGGCGCCAAGATGGTTGGCGCCCAATGGTTGGAGAGTTTTGCTAGGATTTCTAGCACTGTGGGGAAAGGTGCATCATGAGGATACTTCTCCTCAAGAGTTTTGTGCAGCTTATACTCTAAGTGAGACTCCTGTTCCCAATCGTGGCTGGTATTACTTTGCTCTGATAGGAGGTAAATTGATCACCGGATTGCGCATTAATTGCCATAATTGGAAGACTCTTTTTATATTTGTTAGTGGGGAGTAGGCTTCGGAGGCTGACAGAGCTTTGGTACCAACAAAATGAGACACACCCAAGAGAATTGGTACGCCTACACTTATTCTTTTTCCTTTGCATTCTTTGCAAATATGTACTCATCACATCCGTTACAGGTTCTCTAGTGCTCTCGAAAAATCAAGAACGGAAGTTTCAGGCTGTGAGGGCATGCTCAAAGAGGGTGGAGCTAAAGAATCTGCAACTGATAGTCCTAGGGTTGGTGCACCCTCTTCGAGGCCTGGTGGTTCCTCCCTAAAGAGAAAGGGTTTGTTGATTTCCTTGATTCTCTTTCTTGGCTTGGCCTTACTTCAAGATGGCACTTTATCCTTCTTTATAGTGGATAGGATGGTGGTGGAGTCCCGTTATTCCACTAGGAGTACTCCTCCACTTAAGGTGGCGAGGGTGAACGATGCTCTGGTGAGCCCCTCTCAAGTTACCCCTTCAATGGTGCCTCATCGGTCAGCGACTCCTTTAGATGTGATTGTCACTCAGGAGACTCCCCTGTCGACCACACCTCCTACCCCCTGCTCATATTGGTTCCATGTTGGGTGATGTGCCATTCATCAGGGAGTGACTTAAGAGGTTTATGTTTTCGCTAGATGTTAATGAGATTAGTGCTCGGGGCACTAAGAGTGTCATTGGAACTTCTCTGGAAGGTTTGGCTTAGGTAAGGGTTTGCTTTTTTCCTTTCTTTAGTCCCTCCTTAGGCACTAACATTCTTTTGCCTTTTCAAGTTTCAACTGCCTCTATGTGTCTTTTTTCAAGAGCTATTCATTTTAGCCGGTTGAAGAAAAGTCATGAGGCTGTACGAAAGGAGCTTCTTACTGTTCAGGGGAGGATTGCTGAGTTTGAAGTTGATGGTAGGACTTCCCAGACTGTGCTTGTGGCAACCCATAAGAGGGTTGCGCTCAGAGAGATTACTTGCACGAGGGCTGAAACAGAGCTTTTGGCGATCCACGAGAGGGGGCTAAGCTTGAGGCTGAGCTTTTGGTGACTAGTGAGTGGGACACACTCAAAGAGGCTGAGTTTGCGGCTGCTCGCGAGAGGATCACGCTCAGAGAGGTTGTCTGTTTGNAAACAGAGCTTTTGGCGATCCACGAGAGGGGGCTAAGCTTGAGGCTGAGCTTTTGGCGACTAGTGAGTGGGACACACTCAAAGAGGCTGAGTTTGCGGCTGCTCGCGAGAGGATCACGAGAGCGAAGGTAGAGGTGAAGGCAGCTCACCAGAGGATTTCTCGGGCTCAGGCGGATCTACTATAGGCTTGTGAGAGGGTTGTCAAGGTGCCTTCAGATTTGTGTGACTATGCAGATGCCTTCATTAATGGCTATGAGGAGCTTTGGGGAAAGATTTCTACTGCTTTTTTGGATATTGAGGCTTTGTGTCATAGGAGTCACATGATGATGCTTATGATGGTGACTTTGATAGTGCAGAGGGCGAGGATGAGAGTAGTTGGAGTGCTGTGGACTTTTTGATTTTTTTTTTAGAAAGGCAATGTGTAGCCTTCTTTTGTAAAAGTTGTTTTTTGCCACTAATGTTCTTTTGAAATAGAATACAAGAATGCAAAGAACTTTTGAAGTCAGCTTAGAAAATTTTATTCAATGACTTATGCTAAGCAATGGTGGGTAGTAACCCAAAAAAAGGTACAGAAAATAAAATCAAGTTTCCTAACTTTACTATTTCCACTCTCCTAAGGTGTCATTGGTAGTACCTTTTCAAGTGCTAAGCATTCCATGAATGGGGTAAGACCTTTCCCTCAAAATTTTGGATCTTATAGGTGTCTGGCCTCACTACTTCTGGTATAAGGTATGGTCCTTCCCAATTTGGTCCAAGCTTCCCTTTTCGCGAATCCGTTATGGCAAGAATTACTGTCTTGAGGACTAAATCTCTTGGTTGGAAGGAATGAGACTTCATCCTCAAGTTGTAGTATCTCGCTATACGGTGCTTGTACTCCATATTCTAGACCATCGCAATTTCTCTTTCCTCTTCCACCAAGTCAAGGTTGACACGGAGTCCTTCTTCGTTGGAGATGGGGTTGTAGTGTTAGACCCTTAGAGAATGTACCTCGATTTCTACAAGNACCCTCTTCCTCTGCTAGTGTGAGCTCTGTAATAAAGTCTACCAAGGCTTGTGTTTTGATGGCTGCCCTTGGTTGGTACTATACATTGAAATTGCCCAGCTCTACTACCCACTTAAGGAGTCTTCTAGAGATGTTTGGCTTCCCCAGAACCCTCTTTAGAAGCTGGTCCGTTAAGATGACGATAGTGTGACTCTGGAAGTAATATCAGAGACGCCTTGTTGTTGAGATCAGGGCGAGCGCCAACTTTTCTAGCACTGAATATCTTATTTCTGATCCTCGGTATGCCCTGCTCATGTAATAAACAAGCTTTTGCACTTCTTCGTTGTCAGGATTATGCTTGCTCCTTCTCCTTCTCCTTCTCTGATCAAAGAGCCATCAACGTAGAGCTTCTAGGGAGGCGACAAAGAGGGAGCGTTGGAGGTCGTAGAGGGGGCCTATGCGCCTGGCTTGAGCTCCTAGCTTGGGCGTCTGGATACCTTGGGTGCCAGGCCTTGGAGCCTGAGTGTCTGGGAAAGTTTCTGATGAGGCTTCCTGAGGTGTCGAGGGTCCACTACCCTCTTCCTCTGCTAGTGTGAGCTCTGTAATAAAGTCTACCAAGGCTTGTGTTTTGATGGCTGCCCTTGGTTGGTACTATACATTGAAATTGCCCAGCTCTACTACCCACTTAAGGAGTCTTCTAGAGATGTTTGGCTTCCCCAGAACCCTCTTTAGAAGCTGGTCCGTTAAGATGACGATAGTGTGACTCTGGAAGTAATATCAGAGACGCCTTGTTGTTGAGATCAGGGCGAGCGCCAACTTTTCTAGCACTGAATATCTTATTTCTGATCCTCGGTATGCCCTGCTCATGTAATAAACAAGCTTTTGCACTTCTTCGTTGTCAGGATTATGCTTGCTCCTTCTCCTTCTCCTTCTCTGATCAAAGAGCCATCAACGTAGAGCTTCTAGGGAGGCGACAAAGAGGGAGCGTTGGAGGTCGTAGAGGGGGCCTATGCGCCTGGCTTGAGCTCCTAGCTTGGGCGTCTGGATACCTTGGGTGCCAGGCCTTGGAGCCTGAGTGTCTGGGAAAGTTTCTGATGAGGCTTCCTGAGGTGTCGAGGGTCCACTACCCTCTTCCTCTGCTAGTGTGAGCTCTGTAATAAAGTCTACCAAGGCTTGTGTTTTGATGGCTGCCCTTGGTTGGTACTATACATTGAAATTGCCCAGCTCTACTACCCACTTAAGGAGTCTTCTAGAGATGTTTGGCTTCCCCAGAACCCTCTTTAGAAGCTGGTCCGTTAAGATGACGATAGTGTGACTCTGGAAGTAATATCAGAGACGCCTTGTTGTTGAGATCAGGACGAGCGCCAACTTTTCTAGCACTGAATATCTTATTTCTGATCCTCAGTATGCCCTGCTCATGTAATAAACAAGCTTTTGCACTTCTTCGTTGTCCCTGATGGGGACGGAGTTTACTGCCAATGAGGAACATCTTGTTCACCAGCCGTTGGTAGGTTGTTCCTACATTTTTCAGTCCAAAGGGCATGACCCTGTAACAATAGGTCCCCTTCGGAG